CGTTGTCATTACTCTTAACTGATGCACCTGGGCTGACGCGACTCCGCTTGTGGAAATGCAGCATATCTGGTTGAGACTTGGCTTTCCGGCAGTTTGTGAATCCATGTTAGAGCCTTAGTTATAAGCGAGCAACGTGCGTCATGTTTCAACATGGCCACGAATGCCAACCCATTCACGGGTAATTTACCTGGCACATCAGTTGTAAATCATGCCTGACAGTATGAGCAGTTGTTCGATCGCCCTGGCCGACGCTGCTAGCCGTGTGCTCCACAGGGACGGCGACGTGCACATTTATTAGTTTTTTAGTGAAAGGAGTCTTGTGCTGCATCTACCGCACTCTCTCGTCTTCCCTCAACTATTGCACAGTCCTTGTATTTGATTTGTCGCTTTCCTGAACACTTGGGTAATGAAGTCATCAAAGTCCTTGTGACAGACAAAGACATTAAATGTCGTCAAATCAATACCAGGGAAGACGACGCTAAGATGTCCTTTGGATGGCAACAGCAGATCCCCTCCGATAACGACGGAGGTATCGTTCAGAGGCCAAGTCCATAATTACCGTCTGATGTGTCCATGAGGGAGGGTGTTTAGCAAGTAAGACCTGAGTAAAAGAAGGCGATCAATGAAAAGTACGGTGAGGTGGATTGGAGTGAGAAGGCGCTAGTCAACTTGGAAGAAATGAGATAGCTCCAAGCATGCCACTGGGCATTGTAGTGCTATTCAACTTTGGGCGTAAATTAAAAATAATAGAAAACTTTTTTTCATTTTACTACCGAGGTATCATTCAGAGACCAAGCTTATAATTACAAAATGAGACGTCGGGATCCACCAAGATGCTTAGCAAGTGAGGAAAGAAAATCTCTCAAAATCGTCTAAGTGTGGAAAATCTGGATGGTGAAATCGTTGTCCTAAAGTGATGCATAAAAAAGCCTTCCTGTTAGAAGAGGTTTGATGGTGTGGTGCGTATCACAATACCTTTGATCCATTGATCCCGATTTCTCACCAAAAAAGAAGAGAAACAGATGGGATCCGACTGAGTAAGAGCGCCCTAGATGCCACATTGAGAACGAAACACTACAGCCCGATTTTTAATCCAAGGGTCGGCCACTCCACACAACAATCATTGGACTGACGTCGAGTTCTGAGACTTGCTGTCAGTTTGCAACCTTAAAAGTCATGGCATTCAGCGCACTATTAGAGCTTCAAGCACATCGTGATGAATATGCGTCAGAAACCGCTGACACCATCTCTCCTCCCACTCTGCGGCACCAGTCCACTGTCTGAGCCGGTCAGCTGTCTGATGCGGGGAGTGAGCGCAGTGGCTGACTGTATTAGCAATCCCGTCTGCGTTAACTGCATGCATTAACTGGAAGCCCCCATCAACCCCCACGCCCCACCAAAACGTGCTCGCCAGGATTATAAATGCATGGAGGAAGCGCCCGTGATCTCACATGCATGAGGCAGTACCATCGCAGTCAGACTATCAGTTCACCAGTTAGACTTTCAGCAAGCAAAGACGCGACTGGGCTGACTGTTTGGTCGAAGGGGAAACACAAGTTTGTAACCTTTTGAGTCACAGTTTCTAGCGCATCGTGATAGTTTGATGTACATGTGACTATTTGTTAAGAGGAAATATGCGCTGAAAGCCAACATCACTCACTCCCCCTTATCCTGTATATCAACTGACAGTCCAAGTAGGTAATTTAACGGATGCGGGCACCGGTGGTCGAGACTTGGTTTTCCGGCAGTTTGTGGATCCGTGTTAGAGCCTTAGCAATAAGAGAAAATAGGGAAGAAGCGGAGGAAAAGGAAGGTCAATTCAAAGTATGCAGATCCGATGGGCTTAAGAGGACAGTGACGACTACAGCACGACGGCCTTATCATTCGAAGACCATCTAATCCAGCATCAGTTGACGTGTATGATGTTAGAGCCAAGGTCTCGGTATATCCTTCGAGGAAGAGACAGTGGTATAAAATTAAATTGCTAGCAGATCCGTGATCGCGAGGGCACTCACGATGCAGCTATGTTTACATATTATAAGATATTATTCTCACTATGATTTTGGCATCTTCCTCCTAGTACCTCTCCAGGTAGAACTAGCGACCTGTCCACGTGGGGCGGCAGCAGCAGCAATTGGCAAGTTACCAAGCCGTTGAGCTAGCTCATTGATAAAATGGAGATGGTGAACAGGCAAAGACAACAAGGCAACATTCAGCTTACCTGGTGGTCACCTAACTTGTGGTCACCTGGGGGGCTGTAGGCGAATACGCATCTTCGAGATGATGAGGCGATGGTCGGTCCACCCGTCAGCACCCGCGATCGCCTTCGTCACCAGCACGTCCCGGTGATCTCGCCTCCGGACGAGGACGTTGTCCAGTAGGTGCCACTGACGCGATCGAGGATGCCTCCAGGTGGCCTTCCCTTGCTCCGGTAGACAGAAGAAGGTGTTTGTCAGGATGAGGCGGTGTTTTGCGCAGGTGCGGAGGAGCAGCAGAACATTGTAGTTTGAGCCGCGGAGACCATGAGGACCCAGCTCTTCGCTCCAGGCAGCATGGTCTGTGCCGACACGGGCATTGAAGTCATCGAGGACAATCAACTTGTCCACCTTCGACACAGTCGCTAAGAGGGCGTGCAGGTCCTCGTAGAATTTGTCTCTTGCGGCGGCCTCGGGGGTGGTTATCGTCGGAGCGTAGGCGCTGATGATGGCTGCGAATTTGCCCCCCCCCCCCGCTGCAGAGGCAGAGGGAGGCTCATCAGGCGATCGTTGATGCCCTTCGGTAGGCTGGGCATTCGTCCCACGATGTCGTTCTGGATGGCGAAGGCGACACCCGCGTCTCGTCTCTCGGACCTGGGGCGACCACTCCAGAAGGAGGTGTAGTCGGCTCCCACCTCCTCCAATTGGCCTTGTTCGAAGAATCGAGTCTCGCTGAGTGCGACCATGTCCACCTTGTAGCGCGTCAGTTCTCGTGCCACGAGCGCTGTCCTCCGTTCCGGTCGGTTGCTCTTCGGATTGTCTAAAAGGTAACAAACATTACAGGCTGCCAGAGTGAGCGGACTCACCCTGCCAGTCTGGGGAATACGCGTATGGCGACGGGAAGGAGGTGGAGAAGAAGATAACGAAGGAGAAGAGTAGGCAGATGAATAGACAGAAGAGGAAGAAGAGATAGGATGAGGAGAATGAGTATGGTTGTTGTTGTTGTCGTTGCTGTTGTTGTTGTTGTTTCGATTTTGGTTGTTTCAACCGTCAGTTTTGCGTCTGCGACCACGGTGCGCCTGCATACGACGTGGTTCCCCAGCAATTTTTAGGCCAGCTTTTCCAGGCCCCCTCTTTGGCAGTGGAAGAACGACTCGAGTTTGCCAATGGCTTACGACATTGCCGTAAGCCTGTAATCTCCTACGGTGCACCAGATGGGCGCGAGTGAGCGATGCCGATTAGAAGATCCATCCCACCGGCTAACCAACTACGTACCAGGCGGAGCCTCGTCTCGACAATGCCGATGCGACCTTCCACCAACCAGCTGACCAACGGCGTAGGCGAAGCCTCTTCATGGCGGCGCCGACACGGTGTTCCATTCGACCAACCGTCCAGCGGAGTCCGCAGTACCCTGTGCACCTGGCACGATGCGCACAGGGGGTAACCGCCCTCACCTGGTTTAGCTCGCCGGTCGAGGCGGTTGCTCGGAGTGTGGCCGCTGAGCAGAGTCCAGCTACGTTGAGCCACAGGTGAGAGTTGGGTGCCAGCAAATGGACGCTAGGCGTAGTCTCACCTGCAAGCAAATGAACGACCACTACGACCATCACGTGAACCCACCGCTTACACCCCTACAACCCCCTCCCACACATACACACACCCATACACACGACAGTTTGACCATCGACTTCGATGATGTCCACCGTGTGCCCCACAGCTGCAGCAGCGTTAGGAGCAGGGACGGTGACTTGCGCATGGGTTTATAGTGCCGGTAGACTTGCGCTGCATCTACCTACACTCTCTCCTCCTCCCTCGTCTGGGCCCTGTGTCAAGACAGAGTCAAGAAGACCGGAGACGAGGGAGGCCGCAGGTGGATGGTTCGGACGGATCCTCACCTTGGCGCTCCACTCCACGCCCCTGGTCCACACACAAATGACCAGGATTTTGACCACAAAACAATGAAGTGGTTGCAGTGGTCCGGTTGTTCGACGATTGCCGACAACATGGTCCGCCAGCGCACCCCGCAACTGTTGGAATTTGCTATTGCGCACAGATAACGCCTGCCAGAGTACGATGTGGCCCCCGTGTTGGTCCAGCGCATCTCACACGTGGCCCGTTCTGAGGGAAAACCCATACACACACACACACACACACACACACACACACACACACACACACACACACACACACACACACACACACACACGACATGCCTCTCCCCGTACGTCGTTAATGATCTCGGACGCCTGAGATTCAGCAACTTACCTTTTGACTTAGATAGCTTCACTCCCGTTGGTGTTATGTGTTACTGCTTCAGCTTTCACTCTGCCTATTTAGCCCGGTCAGTTCTTACTTCAATCTTCTCAAGAATTCTTCTTGAACTACAATAACATTGAATACCCTTGCAGCGGGAGCTTTTACCTCCTTTTTAGCGTGCACATCTGTTTTGTTTGCCGTTCATCTTACACCTACACCAAGTGGCCACCCCACCGTAGTTATAATTGCCTTTACATGGCATGATTGTGGATGTTTATATTGCGTGCCAAATCTTACAAGTCTAGAATTTCGCCCAGTACCTCAGGTTCAGTATCCGCAGGAGACAACTCAGATGAAAGTGGTTGCGACCAACAAAGAGAATTGGGTTTGGGACGGTCGAAGCCGCACTCCGGCGTGCAGCTCACATCCTGCTCGGATCCCACGCAGTAGGAGTGCAATAAAGGCAACATTAAGAAGGAGTCATTGTAGCCTGACTCTCAGACCACAAGCCGGCCGCTCTAGCTGCCTCCCCCTTACGTTGTTGAGAGTCTTGGACGACTAAAATTCATGAACTCACGTTTTGGTTTTGAAAGCTTCGCTCCCATCGGTATTATATGTTGCCGCTCAAGGATTCTCTCTCCTTCTTTACTTAATCGCTGGAAAAAATACTAAGAATGGGCGGAGATATTTTACTTGTTTTAACACAGTTAATTGCGCACAAAATCAGTGCACTAAGCTAATATGATTCGTAGCAAAGATAGGCCAACGTCGTTATCGCTCATGAGCTGTGTTGGTGACGTGGAGGCCCTTAATGACGCACACGCGCGTCGATAGCGCAGGCCGCCGCAATCGGCTCAGTTTGACGACATTCTCTCGAGGCAGTCCAGGTGCGGTTCTAATGGCATTAGGTGCTCGACCATCTCCAGAAAGCCACATGCCTGTACTCCAACCGATGGTGCGCGGCGCGTAAAGCGAGCGATCGATCGATTTTACCTCCCCGGGTGTGCGGGCCTCCACGCCAAGTCAGGCACGCTCAGGCTGCATATGCAGCCGTGCAGCTTTCTCACGCACATAGTGCCATCTCGCTAATCATAGTTGGGGTTGCAACCCACTGACTGACCGGGGTATTATTTGAAAGTCCTTTTCTTAAAATACTTTAAATATTATTCGTCTTAAACTGTGATGCTCTTCGAAATCCGCTTTGAGCAAAACTATCGTGAAATTTAAAACCTCACAATCATCAGCAGTTACGCAGCAGATTGACTGAAGAAAAAGCACAGCTAGACTGACTGCTTGGCAGGATTTGATGCACAAGTTGGTACCCTTTCAAGTCAGTTTTTAGCGCACCGTGATAGCCTGATGCGCGTGTGACTTTTTATTAGAAGGAATTAGGCGCTGAGAGCCGGCATCACTCACTTTACTTTATTCTGTGCATCAGCCGACTGTCAGAGCGGGTCACTTAACAGATTCGGGCATTTGTAATGGTGGAGCACAGTGTTGAGAAGAGCTGATTTTCGTGTGCCACACACAAAGTGGCCCCGCCATCGTAGTTGTAGTTGCCTTTAAATGGCGTGATTGCTGAGGTTTCTATTGCGTTCCAAATCTTACAAGTCTAGGATTTCGCCCTGCACCTCAGGTTGAGTATCCGTAGGAGACAACTCAGATGAAAGTGGTTGTGATTCCCCCTTGTTCACACAACCAATAACCACGCTTTCGACCAACAAAGAGAATGGGGTCTGCGACGGCCGAAGCCGCACTTGGGCGTGCAGCCCCCATCCTGCTCGGATCCCACGCAGTGAGAGTGCAATAAGGGCAACATTAAGAAGGAGTCATTGCAGCCTGACTGTCAGACCACCAGCCGGCCGTTCCACCTGCCTCCCCCCTTCGTTGTTGAGAGTCTTGGATGACTTACATTCATGTACTCACATTTTGGCTTTGATAGCTACGCTCCCGTTGGCTTTGTATGTTTCCGCTCCGGAATTCTCTCTCCTTCTTTAACCCGGTGAGTTCTTACCTCGGTCTCTCCATGATTTGCCTTGAATTGCAATCGCATTGAGTATTCTTGCAGCGGAATCTCTTACCTCCTTGCCAACGTGCACGTCCGGCCATCTCTCCATAGAAGTTCTGCTTTCTTTGTCGTCCATCTTACACCCACACCAAGTGGCCGCCCCATCGTAGCTGTAGTTCCCTTTACATAGCGTGATTGCTAAGGATTATTTTGCGCTCCAAATCTTACAAGTCTAGAATTTCGCCCTGCATCTCCGGTTGAGAATCCGCAGGAGTCAAATAAGATAAATGTGGTTGTAATTCCGCGTTTTTTTCCTGTAGATGGTCAAGCTCTCTGGACCATACGGGAGCGTCATCCAGAAAATATAATTATATGTCATGAGCTTGGTGTTGAGATGAAAACTATAACTGGTATTTGGGACCCAGTGGGCCACTTCATTGTCGGTTTCGATGCAAGCTTGCATGGTGCTACCAAAATAGGCAAGGTTTTCCACAGTTTCCAGTTGGTGCCGTTGACAAGGACAAGAAGAAAAAGTGCATGCAGCAGGGGGTAGCGATTGCCGCATAATCGCCGTTTCGTTTTGGTAGTCTCTCATCGTACATCCTCACGAAGTGGCCACCCCATCGTGGTCCTCGTCGCGTTGGAACTGGTCATTGGGGGGTGGGGACGTAGACACTGACGGTAGTAACAAATTTGGCATCCCGAAGATGTCGACGCAGGTTCAGGGAGTGCTCGTTGACACGCTGTATCAGACAGGGCGGTATTTAAGCGATGGCTTCTTGGATATCATGCGTAGCAACACTCTGTCGTTGGGTGGTCGCTCCAGAAGAAGGTGTGACCAGTACGCACCTCAACCACTCGGCTTTACACGGGGAACTGGGCCTCGGCAAGAGCAGCAGCGTCCAATTTGCAGCGCACCGGTTCCCAATCAACTAGCGTCGTCCTTCGTTTTAGCCGCTTGCAGCTTGGATTGTCTAAAGGGGTACGGAAATTTCAGGCTGTCAGATTGAGTGTACTCACCCAAGGCGCCTTTTTCGTACCTTGGAGAGGGGGAGGACGAGGCTCGTCGTTGTTTCCTTTTGCTTTTCAATCGACACTTCTTATCTACGAGTCACCGTCAGAGAGCGGATGACGTGATGCCAATAGTTATTTAGGGTACCTTTTTCAACTAGCTTCCCTGGAGTAAGCAGTTATTGATATCCGTAAATAGGACGTCTGAGGAGTCCCAGACAGCATTTGAACTACATTATGTGTCTAAGCTTCGTTTAGTTAAAAGTAACCGTAGCCAATCTGTGTCGCCTATTGGATTGCATGTTGCCCTTAACCTGAGACGTCTTAAGTGGAAGTGGGAAGGAGGAGGAGGGGGGAAATGGCGGTGAGGAAATGAAGGGAAGTGGATGAGGGAAAACAAGGGAAAGGAAAGAAGAGGGAATAGGATGAGAACATGGCTGCCAAATGCGCGCTATACATCAGAGGAAAAACTTCATCTGGTTTAACCCACCATGTAGTTATGATTACTGGAGTCTGACTCCTTGGCAGAGCTTAGCAAGGGTTGTCGTATTTACGTTTTGTTTGTCGGTCATAAGTTCTGTATCAACAAAACACGGTCTGCGTGCAGATGACCGGCAGTTGTTGAGGATGCATTTTCTAGTCGTCCTCCAGCGCGTGGGTATTTTTTGATATCCGCAAATATGGCTTCTGAGACGTCCCATAGGGTTACCGAACTCCACTTTGTGTCACGACTTGGTTTTGTCGAAAGTAACCCGAGTTATTTTGAGTCGCCTATTGGATTTCGTGTTGTGCTATCCGCGGGACGTTTTAAGTGGATGTGGGTGTGGAATGGGAGAAATCGAAGTGGGGCGTAGAGGAGGAAGGGGAGATGGGGAAGAAAGGGATGGGAAAGAAGAGGGAAATGGGTTAGAAACATAGCTGTCGGATATGGGGCCAAAGATCGCAGGATAGCCTTCCTCTGGTTAAACCCTGCTGGTAGAGGTGGTTACCGGCGTGTCACTACGTGGCAGACCCTAGCCGCGGTGAACCACAGACGAGAGTTGATTGCCAGTTGATGACAGTCACGATTTGTTTGGTGTTACTGACATTTCATGCACAAATGCTACTAAGTGTTCATATCCACACCTGTGAAGTAGTATCATTTTATTTTTCTAACACTTTACTCACGAAATCCGAGTACCCGTGCACTTTACAGGCTGCCTTCACTGATGACTAATCCATTATCCACTACCGCAGAAGCAACGGCTAGGTTGGCGGATAAAGTCGTTCTACCTCGGCCCTCCATCATCCACACGGCCCACTTATTTGCTCATCAACGACTCGCTTACCCCCCTCCCCCAGCTCTAAGGACCAAAATCCGCCGACCTCATCATGCGGGCGGCGTGGGTAAGAGGAGTGTTAATAACTTAATTGCCCTTGCGACACCTATAAACACTGTTAACTTTGTACATTTTCACTCCTTCATCTAGAGGTGTCGACATTACTGCATCTCGAAATCCGTATGCCTACTAAGCGTGAACTTATTTTCCAAGACGACCACCTTTTTGATATTTGAAGCAGTAATTCAATGTTCTAACAATGATGATTTTATCAGAAATTCTGATCAATTCAAGTCAAACTCAATCTGCCCCAGTCTCCATCTAGCAGGCCAAAGAAACAGTGAACAAACTTTATCCACGTTGTTACGACAGTGAACCATAAGGCTTTTACCAACAGTCCAGTTCTTGCCTGCGATTTTGCCACTCACCCCGCGTGCATCTGCTTTATCTATTTCAAGATATGATATCTGCCGCCTCTGGACTGTTTGGTACTGTCAAATTTCGATGTGAATGCGAGTGAGGGTGTATAATATCTCTGTGCAACCTCTGAATGTTCCTGAACATCAGATTGTCTCGTCGTGCCAAGATGTGAACAAATTCATCAAATATGCAAAAAGCCTGCATACTAGGCGGTTTGGATTTTTTATAAAATATGGGATGCATTTGTGCATTTGTGTCAAAGTGTACGCAGGTGTTCTTTCTGTATAAGCAACTTCGGATATGAACAGTTTTTGTGCAGTGTTTTCTGAAATCTGCAGACATTTCATGATTCGTGCAGAGTAAATTTCAGTAGTTTATTACGACTGTTGCCCGACCATAACCGACAGGGTAACGAGCCCCTGGTACAGTGGTTAGGAGCGTTGGGCTTCACATCTTTCTACAATTCCCTTTCTTATATCACATTCCGTCCAAGCCAAAACGAGCGAGACCATTATCTTAGTTGGCGAATCAGATCAGGTCAGACGAAGTGGATGTGATGAGATTAGGAAGACCGACTCAAGCGGGAGACCGCATCATTCGAGGAATATATCACGCAGCTGCAGGTGTCGGGTGCGATGCCAGTGACAAAGGCAATCAAAAAACTAATATGGGTCTCAATGGATCCTACAAGGCAGGAACACCAGGATAAACTTCAATTGTTGGCCGATCCATGACCGCGCAGGCACTAATTGTGCATCTGTGTTAAATACAAACTATATTCTCACCTTCCTTGTTTGCATCCTAATTCTGCGGACACCTAAAATAGTAGCAGTCGACCTATCCGTGTGGAGAGTGCGGTTCAGCTGCGGCGTACTGGATCGGCGATATTCGGTTCTTCATTAGTAAAAGCCAAGTAGATACTTCTGCGAAAGGTTCACTGTTGTCTCCTAGGAGGACTGCAAAAGAAAGAGATCTTTGAGCTCAGAATGAAGACATGCATATAATATAAAGCGAATGGTCGGCTATCGCATCATCACACTTTGAAGGGAGCATCATCGTCGCCTCTGGACCTGACTGTCCTCTGAAGGTCAATGTTGCGGGAACGTATTTGTCTCCAACCATCACGCGTCTGCTGGACCCTGGAGAGGAGTTCGTTGTGAGGAAGCAGTCTCGAGCAGTGAAGTCTCCATTTGACCCACACGGTCGCCGGCATTGTTCTTGGTAACTTGTGCTCTGGAGTCATGACATATTTTCAGATCGGCTCATTATCATTGTGGACCTCGATGCGGGGAAACAGATTCAAATACCATCGTGCGATTTAAACTGAAATAAAGGTTTGAGCTTTCTAGACATAGTAGCTTTAATGTCAGAAGTAGCATCTAATTGTGAATATAACTTATTCCTCTGTATAAGTACGTTGTCTCTAATTATACAAAGGGATTTTACGGGAAAGAATTCAATATTTATAGGACAGAAAACGAAACCACAAAACATGGCTGAACATTCAGGTAATTTCGAAGTCGGCTTGACACCTTGGATTTTGTTGTATTCGTGGTCGACAGAAGACTTATGTTGCTTGTTCGTATTGTTTTCATTTTCACTAGGACTGATTGGGCATTGATGATATTCCAAAACCCCATTGCATTATTGTAAATTAAATGTAAATCGGCCTGCTACTCTGAAATACCCAGATTTACAGTAACTGCATGAAACTTTTTTTCCTTAAAAATAATGCTGCTAAAATGAAGAAATACGCAGCCACCGTAAGGAATAAATATGATAACAGAAGAGGACTTAATTTTTAAGTTTAAACTTGACGGAAAAGTGTCATTTATATGTGAGAACAATATCTCGACCAATGCAGGAATAAAAATATTTCGTTTGGTTGTTTGTTTCATTTTTGTACAGGGATAATAACATATTGATGCGCTATCCGACGACCGTGAATAATAATAGCATCCACATCCTCTGCAGCTGTTCGTAATTCGTCCGAGCATATAAGACTGAATCATTCCGAACTTACGATGTTTAAGCACTGTAACATTTTTCGCCCCACAAGCTAAATCATGCATTTAAGAGGCACAGACACGGCCTGCCTCTTTACCAAAATACATTCTTGCATCGCACTGCTCAAAGTGTTAACGAGTTATTCTTGCATATTTATGGAATAAAGGGCCGGAGGCTAGTATGTGCATCTGTTTCTAATCAATTCTTCATACAACTGCCGTTGTATTGGAGCAGATTGCCTGGTATAGAAGGTCAATAACTGCTATTAAACAAGTTTCTCCAATATGTTCACTGCCTCTAAACGCCGTCTCTTCACACTATCATGTAGGTCTACGTCAACTTACACTCTCTATCTACGGTGAAGTCATATCTCAGATTTATAAAACTTAGACCGATGGTATTACATTTAAAGTCTACAAGGGAAATATCGGGGCGACAATCCACAAACATTTGCGCGCATGAAATAAGTTCGCTGGTCATAACAATGACTTAGGAATGCAGGCTTAGTGCAGACCACCTGCGGTTCGATCGAATTGGACTCCTGTTGATAAAAAGATAGAAGGCTTCACGTGGCGTACAAGTTGAGAAATTTTCATATACTCGGCGGCGATGTTCACGAACAAATAACGACCAAATTACCATGGCAAATAAGAACGGAGGGGCAAAAGAGTTAGTTATTCAATAATAATTACTGGAAACGCAAAATAAGTAGCAAGTTTTACGACAGAATCTCAGTGGCATTCCGTTAAGGAACTATGGCAAGCTAAGTAGATAGATGTACTGTGTGAGAAAACAAATTTTATTCATTTTCTTATGCCGGATATCATTTTGTAACGTTCAATCTCTGCAAACATCCTTAGAATGAGCAGATATATTTAACTTGGTTTAACACAGGAATTAACCCGTAAATGGAAAAATTGCAAAAAATAACTTCATCTCGAAGGTGAAGATGTGTTTTAGTCATGTAACTGTATTGTTCAGACGAGAAGTTACCGAAAGGAACGTTCACTCGCCACTGTCTCTTCTGAACATAGTTATGGGGATTTTTTCAACTTTTAGTCATAAGTTTCATTCTACAATCTAATAACTTATTTTGTAAATGCGTGAAACCAACCAAGGTGATTAATCGAAGTTTAAGATTTGTCATGGAACGCCCGAGACAAATATATCTCTCTAACTGCAATAACTGCCAATTGCTATCTTTTTCTTATTAAAGCAGCATGCCTGATATAAGATTAGGTACCGCGTCATCTCTTCCGCTCCCATATGTTTGTCGTCTCCAAAGGAATTGATTCCTATTTCTCTATACATATTTTTCACACCACTAGGTCGGAATCATCTATATGCCTAAAGTTGAGAATAGGCAACTATCTCCCTGTCATAATCTGAGACACAACTTGACGTTTATCAGTAAACCCAAACTTAACCCTAAACTCAAATCTAAACTTCGTCTCCCTTATGTTTGCTACATAGCCACTTGTTCCACTGTCTTGCCGAGGTGGCTGGCATAGGCCATGTACGTGTTTCCTAACCTGCTTTTGTGATAAGATGACCTCCCAGTTTTAAAATTATAGATGCACTAATACTACAGTAAGAGTCACGAGGGAAATATCGGTGTGTAAGAATGCATGAAATTGTCTAGATTCTGAATGCGCATCGAGAGTGCACGCCGCCGCAATCGGCTCAGTTTGACGACATTCTCTCGAGGCAGTCCAGGTGCGAATCTAATCGCATTAAGCACGCAGGTATTGCGATCGATTTTGCGCGGCGCGTTAAGCAAGTGATCGATCCATTTTACCTCGCCAGGTGTGTGGGCCTCCACGCCACTGGGATGTGCGTCAGGCATGCTCAGGCGGCATATGCAGCCGTGTAGCTTTCACACGCAGTTAGTGCCATCTGGCTAATCATAGCTTGGGCTGCAACCCTCCGACTAACCTGGTAATATTTGAACGTCCGTTTCCCAAAATATCCTCTGATATCATTTGTCTGAAACTGGAAATCCTTTCCCCGTAGGAGTAATCAGCACAGTTGGCAACAGCCGATAAGCGATGATATGAAGGAAGCATGTTGCAGCATATTTTTCTAGCTCTGCCAAGTCCATTATTACCTGGTGATGATGTTGTTACTGTGTTATCAAATACACTCCGGTTCGCAAGACCATTTCGAATTAACAGCTGAAAGTCGCTCTCTTCTTTGGGGACGAGTGCACCCAGTAGGTTAGTTCTTCTCACAATATCGAGAAGTGTGTCCAACATACATTTTTATGAAGTCATGCAAAAAGTAAATGATAGGCCTTTGGTAGACGACTTTGGCTGCCCCGTGTTAAACTCTCTTGGAAACATGCAATATCAGGGTGAAGACGACCACTGACTCATCTAGTGTACAGGCAGCATCGCAGGTAGTTAGAGCTAGCATTATCAACGCGCAATTATCAGTCGAATCTCATTCTCCCTAAATTCGTCCATCTGCGGCAAATTGATGAAGAAAAACACCGATGGACGTGACGGCGTCGCTGGCCGAAGGCGGAGTCACTCGTGGCATGCGCGCCGAAAAAGATGAGGGCAAACGGTTGTGTTGACGATCGTGAGAGTGGGAAGCTACAAGTCTTCCCTTGTCCAGTTACACATGCGGGGACATTTTTTAGTGAAATGTCAAATCTGTTTCACCCACGACGACTTGCTTTAAATGTGCAAATCAACAGCAACTAACTCACTTGCGTCCCTTTTTACGCAGATCTTTGCTTCGTTTACTTTCGGGCTTTGCTGGGCAATTCCGGGTGAGTTTGAACATGATTAGGAATTGATGACGCTTTTACGGCCAATGCGGTCACTTAGTAAATACAAAGTACGTACTCATATATATCCCCAGCCTCAAACTGCTGCCGTCTGCGTTTTCGGATGCTGCATGTAACCGACACCTTTGACGAACATAGTTCTCGTACTGGCAATCCAATTTTCATACTTGAAATCCCTTGGTGCATGTCACTGTGTCCAGGAAAATCGGCTTTCCAACACGCTTCTAATGCTGGAGGGACGAGAATGTCCTATAAATTGATGTTCCTTATCCGTACCTATTCGGCGTTCGTACCAAAGCCCGCACCCTTGGATTTGTGACTTCACCAATGCCGCGCATTACATCGAGCGGACGAATATCTCTCCGTCAAATAGTAACTACCCCACGCAGTCCACAGTGTCGTAAGAAGTCATTTCATTCACCGGGAAAACATACCTCGTTCTAAAGTGGTCGACCCTCGTGTGAGCACCGCACATCTTTGAAAGTAAGAACTCCACCGCAGATTTACTTGCAAGTCGTTTATTTCTTTTAAAAAAATCAGGAAAGTGGCTGATGTTTACATGCGAATGCTTGCTGCTCCGTGAATCCTGCTGAGCGATTCCACTGTGATCTTGGAGGACCAGACCCAAGCGGTCAAGTCGTTGTCGGGGTCGGCTGAACCTCCTGGGGCTGCGAAGGCCTCTACCCTGTTGCCTGTTAAAAAAATAATTTTAATGAAGGTCGGTTAGGAAAAAGAAAATTCTAAGACAAAGAAAGAGGGAAACAAAGAGGCATTGGCAGTATTCACAGAAATGCTGCAGAGTGGCCATTTAGAGAAAAAAACATGTCAGATTAACGAAGGTGTCGCATGCTGAGCCAATGCATGGCATTAAAGAGAGAAAGAATGCATTTAATTGTGAATTGTGTAAAAATTATTTCCCCGTCTTCAGTCCTCTACCTAAGGAAGACGAATAAGTCAAATGGGATACAGTTTTTGTCAGCGCTGCATGAGTTGTTTGATATTCTATGGCTTCTTTCTTAAAATTCCTGACAAAGGCAACGTCTTTTACTGGCTTACAGTGGAGTCATTTTATAGCCGAGATTTTAAAAGACACTGTGGTGGGATATGAGAAATTTTTATGCATTCAAAACTGTTTACTAGACAGAAAAAAACTCTATATAAAGGTAAATTAACCTGACACCATAATAATAGCACCGCCAGTGAGGTCGCTCCATTCAGCCTCAAGGCACACACAAACACACAGTGCTGGTGCATAGTGCGCATTTAGAAGAAAAAAAGGAAAGAAAAAGAAAAAAGGAGAGGGAATGCATTTAATGGTGTGTCGCATTCGTACCGTTGCCGAGAGCGAAGACGGCGTTGGCGGAGGTGAGAAGAGTGAACTGCCAGCGAGGCTCCTGCATGTGGGCCAGTTCTGTCCACTGGCCGAGGGGGCTGCCGGCGTCTGGCGGCGTAAACATCTCCACAGTGTTGAGAGGTCGGTAACTGTTGAAAGAGTTGAGAGTTCGGTCATCCCATCCACCGGCGACCAGAATTGCTCCCCGAAAGGCCGTCGCTGCGAGCCAGCTGCGTGCAGTTCTCATGGGGGCAGCCGACTGCCAAAAGTCCGCCTCCCGCCGACGCAGCCTACGCCAGTCTGCTCGCAGATGGCAGAAGACCACAGAGGCAAGCGCGGTGTCGCGTTCACCTTCGCCGCCAAAAAGGAAGACTCGACTGTCGCCGGGCAGACAGGCAGCAGCTGGGCCGTACCTCGCCTCCGGCAGATCGGGCAGTTTGTGCCATCTGTTCGGGCAAACAGTCGAGTGAGGAGAAGAGGAGAGAAATCTTTTTGGCGAAAAAAAACTGTGCGTCAAGACGGGGCGTCTGCACTCACCTGTCCTGCCTGACGTCATAGACCTCACAGAAGGAAATTGGGCCCAATCCACCGAAAACGCCAATCAGCGTCTCCTCTCCGTCAACGGCAGCGGTCGGGAGCTTCACGACGGCGGCTGCGTGCCCGAAGCGTCCAACGGCGAGGGGCGCCCGCTCGCGCCAGCGCCCTTCTCTCACCAGAAACTCATCAACACGCCGACTAGAGCCACCTTCTCCTCCTCCAACAACGAAAATGCTCTCTTCCGTTTGGTGGTGGTGGCGGAAAAAAACAATGCATAAAGTAGCCAGCTTAAAAAGGGCTTGCATTCTTTAAAAAGCAAAAAGCAACGAGCGCTAAATGCACCCCGTAGGTAGCAAAATGTGCTGACAGGCCTGCACACAGAGGCAGTAGACTTCAGTCAAACAACTGTCCGGCAACTCACCACCCATCGCACTGTAGGAGGCGCCCCCCCGGCCACCGTCCATGTCAGCAACGCGTTCTGCCTGCTGCAGACGCGGATTCCAACGCAGGACAGACCACCTTCGCTGCCTGTCTGTTCCAAGGAGGACAGACAACCTGACCCCCTCATGACCGTCGTTCCGCCTGTCCTCTCCAAAGAGGAAGATTGTCGGATCTCTGTCTGCTCCAAAGAATGTCTGACGAACACGAGGCCTAATGTTGAAGGGACAGGAGCGCTTATCCTTTTCTGAGGCGCCAATCCAATTGGAGATCTGAAACATTAGACAACTTTTAGAGAAAAAAATAACAAGGCTGCAGTGGCATATACTTACAGACACTCTGGACTCCTCCTGAATGCCGGATAGTGCTGCAGCAGACGATCGCGACATTTCACGGTCGTCTGGTGCCACTGCACCTCCCTCAACATTGCTGGAGCGTAAACTTGAAGCCTTTTGTCATCATCCGCCAGGCACGCACCTGCATCCACCCACCGTGCGATGGCCGCAATAACCTGCTCTTCAGATGACACAGACAAATCCACACTTTGAAGCACAGTGAGCAGAGTTTGGGCAGGTAGACGAACAAAGAGGTCGGTTGGCACCAAGTCTTCAAAGTGCGCCTTCATCAGTCCGATGCACTTTTCAGTCAGTTCTTCAACATTCACCGACCTCGCAAAGTCCCAGACGGCTGACAGGTTCTCTAAAGTGAGCCTGCAGAACAGACAGTTAGACAGGAAATGCGCGTACCGCCTGGCCATGAATGCCACTCCCCAGTTCTCCAGGTGAGGCAACTCAAGCATTCTTGCAAGCATCACCAGGGCCTTTGCATTGTCTTCTCTCATCTTCACTCGGCCCGTGTAGACGTACTGCACGAACGTATTTGCGAGACTAGAAAGTGCAGAAGCAGTAAGCAAAATCACCAAATCGACGATAAATTTACCTCAGTGGCACGGTCGGCCATCGCAGAACGGAATTCTTCCTTCCGAGAGGGCCACTGAGAGGGGCTCGCAAAGACGGAATGCGAGCCGCCAATATAATACGATTGGCGTGAAGCTCTGCCCCGTCCATGACCTAACACGCAAGCAAACATGAATATTCGCGGTAAGGGAGGCTACCTCTATCGTCAAGTCCTTAATTTCCTCCGCAAGACGGATTTCGTTTAAGGCTGGACAGCTTCGGATCAGGGGAAATTCGTCTTCGAACACTTCTGCTCGTGGGTGCGCCATTTAGTGTTGTAACCAGACCGAGATCGACGGAATGCCTTCAGGGCCGTGAGGGCTGCCCTTTTATTTCTCCCCTGACATTCTACGCACGCCCGCACGCACTGACGACCTTCAGGATCTGATTGGCCGAGGGTAGCACAGAGCGGATTCCATTGGTTGATAGTTGGCACAGAAAGGGGGCGAATTAATACGAAAAAGGTAAAGGCGACTTCTCCATTGGTCAAGCCATAGCTGGCTAATAGGTTTCACTGCCAAATATGGAATACCAGCCAGGCTGACGTGTGCCCTGTCAACAACGAGGAAATCGTGGGGGCGGGAGTAGGCAGTAGGCTAAGGTTCGGTGTGTATAGGCAGTCTGCAGACTCGCTGGCATTTTCGTGAGGTTGATCTTCGGTGTGCACTACTGTCGTTGGTTTGTGAAGATCACCTGTTCATGCAGACGAATAGTGCAGGCAGATATCCCCGGCAGACTGAGGTGCATTCGCTTAGATCTGGCTAATTAGCAATAAGGACCTCTCAACGTTTGTTAAAAAGACCAGATAAATTAGAAACTTGCTATATCGGTCGTACTGTCTTCAGAAGTTCATCACATGTTACCGTTTCGCGATATATTTCCTGTAATCCAGACCAGTTAGCTTTCGACTTGGGCTTAACTACGTCCCTAAAAAGAATACGTCGTTTGAAGATGACGAACCTTGGTAGATATTTATCCCTGCCAACAGTCCGGAACAAACTACTAATGAAAATCTCTGCGAAATTGTCAAAAAAAATTCGCCACAATGCAAATTAGAAAAGATTGATTTTGGCTAGATAATTACAATCAACATTCCGCTATAGGCAGCCTGGCCAGCTCCGTGTCTAAAAGGCATTCTGCTGCGTTCCATGCAAAACAACGATCAACAAAATACTGGAATTTTGAAATTTCTATTAATTTTAATTGTTGCCCTACGCACCCTCATAGTTAGCCCGTTATAAACGACTAACAATATAGCCATTTTCTAAAATTTTGGTTTTCAGCGACAATTAATTAATATTATGCTAGTGAATGTTAATTTGAAAAACTTAACTACGCATCTTATTAAGAAAGGTCGTACTTACACTGCTGTAAGACTGCGTACGCAGTTTGGGCGGAATTAACACTATAAGGAAATTCGTGTAATACCTCATGACCTTTCAGATACTGTGATAGCAGTAGCAGTAATAGTAGTAGAAGTAGTAGTAGTAGTAATAATAATAATAATAATGGTAGTGGCAGATGTAGAAGTAATGGGAGCAGTAGTATCAGTGGTCGTATTAGTAGTAGTAGCAGTGGTAATCAATCGGAATTTGGAGATTAAGAAGCTTACTCTAACAATAAAACCAGGATTATTTTGATCACACGCATCATCTTGAGCTGCACAAACAGTCTGCAGACACACTAGCATTTTCGTTGGCAAAATATTACTGTAGCGTCTTCAACCTGTTATCAGTGACTTTTGTGGATGTCTCCACATGTTTCACCATTTACACGATCACGCCACAAAGCTCGTAATCTCTATTTGCGAACAAAGATGGCTTTGTGCGACTGAGAGCCTAGAAGATGTGAGCCTACGGCTTACCTGCTCAAATCACGCCCCTGTCATTCGATCTCGATCTGGGCGTCATCTAGGGAGTGAGAAAAGTACATGCGCAGCAACGCAAGCTCTGGCACACATGACATGCTCCACCCTGGTGTGCCGTTGCAGGCTGCGACGTGGCTGCACATGAAGCCAGGTCAGTGGAGCTGCGTGATTCCTGCTGAAAACGACATCGTCTATTCAGGAGACGCATAATATAATTTAACAGTTCTCTAGTGATTCTCAGCACTGAGTGAGTTTCCCTGGAGATATTGCCTCAGACCATCGCAAATTCAATTACAGAAGGATGCATGAAGGTGCAGAACATTGAAGTGCCTCTCATTTCATCTCACCATAATTAAATTGCACGGAGCTTAACCGCCACATGCGTCGATTACACCACTGTAGGCGAGAAAGCTCGGCACACTTTTATGACTGCTTCGGAGATCGGCCCCGTGATGGGCTTCCAGAGGCAATTTTGTTTAATGAGGCGCTTTTGTGCTATGAGAGATGGGAAGAAGAGTCAAAAAGTGAGATTAATTACAAGGGGTCTGTCTATTACCACAGTATGTGTCCCAACTCGTGGAATGTCGGGATCGAAAGTTGGGTGAGAAGTAGATCATACTTATGGTGTTATTTTTTCAGTTGGTTTAAGAGTTGGTTTAAGACGCAGAAAACCATTTTGTTTAGAAGATGTGACATCCCTGATGTGAATTTCCATTCTTTTCCGTTTTCGCTTCTAACCGTTTGTTAGTAAGCAGACTTTGCCCATACCACTCTGCTTTTGTTTATGTACCCCTATTCGTCGGTTCTCGTCATTCTTCGTTCACTGTTCTTTGTTCGTTGTCTATTGCTCTTTGTCGCCGCTCGCTTTTAAACCGACCACCACACTTTGGCGTCAATCGATGACTACTCATCTAATCAACTCGAACGTATGTCCACTTTTCAATTCATTCCTCGCTTTATTAACTCTATCGTGCTCCGCCAATCTTACTGTTTACTGCTATAGAACCACAAAAAATAACCGAGTTATCATGACTGTCTTCTGACAAAGCTTTGACCGCGGCTGCATCTATTCCGGTGAATGAACCAGCACTGAATCGAAAATCTAAAGAATCCTAACAAAGTTATTCGAGTCATGCCCGAGTAAATCGCAGACAACAGCCCTACGGATCTGTCGCTGCAATCACGACCTGCTTCAACAATCACCTAAGATCAAAGAAATTTAGAACGGCCGCGACTTGAAAAAGACCTCAGCAAACTGCTTCTACTAGAAATCGAAACACGCATTGAGTTGGAAAAATTACAGCTTATGAAAATGAAAGGTCAGAAATTGAATAAAGATAACGAGATTTGTGCGATCGCTCAACAGAGAGATGGTATTTTGGATGATAATGTCGAACCTCCAGTTCGCATCACTGACTATCATCTACAGCTGCCAGAACGTGAAATTCAGAAGTTCGACGGGAACCCTAAATTTTATTGTGCTTTTGTGAAAGAGTTCCATTCTGTAATTGAAAAGAAAACTAATGACAGCATCACAAGCCTCACTTACATGATACAGTACTGTGAGTGGAAAGCGAAGGAGGCTATACAACATTGTGTGATATCAGATGCCGACGAAGGTTTTAAAAAAGCCAAAGATATTTTGAGAAAATGATTCGGCCAAAATTATATAATATCCCGAGCCTTTAATGAAGCTTAATCGATGGACCTCAAATAAAAGGCAACGACACCGCAGCGTTGGTTCACCTCAGCCAACAAGTCCAAGTTTGCGTGGCAACCTTAAACCAACTAAACTATACATGCGATCTCAATTCCAGCAGAACTCCGGAGCCGATTGTGAGACGACTTCCCTCCCACTTAAGATCCAAATGGGCTGAAGCCGCTGCTAATGCAATACATCAGGGCGAAGAACCATACTTCCATTTGTTTTCTTTTTCTTTGATCCGATGGGATACATTACCCAAGTGAGGATACTCGTAAAAAAATGTCCTAAAAATTTAGCAAGCGCAAAGTAGTTTGGGAGGAAGAGATGTGCGGTGGAGAGTGGAAATTATGGAGAAAGTGATTAAATGCAATGCCTAGCCTCGAACACTTCACCGTACCTCTATGCATCAGACTAGAGTAGGCGAAACCAAACTATGATTTTCAACTCCCTGTCTTTAGTGACGCGTCGGAAACCGCTTATGGCGCAGTCGCCTACATGGTCGCGGGGGCAAAAGCGAAACAACGCTATCTCGATTAATATTGTCTTAGGTCAGAATCGTCCCTATTCGCGTGACTAGTACACCGCGCCTGGATCTAATGGCAGCTTTGGTAGCCGTTAAGATAGCCAGGTTGATCCGCACAGAAATGAGCGTGAAGATTGCAACAACTTTCTGCTACACAGACTATCTAGTGGTTCTCCGAAGCATTCGCAACACTTAGAAACCTTTTCCCACCTTCCAGCTCAATCGCTTGTCGCTTATACACTATCTCTTTAGCCCAGACGAATGGCTATACATCGAATCCCGCCGGAATCCCGCCCACCTGCTATCCCGTGGTGTCATTGCGAACGAAACAAATAAGCTAGAACATCAGAAGTATTGTCCTGAAAATCCGGTGATACTAACATACAATCACTACGGGTCATAGAATGACAAACCTCGGTTCCGACTCAGGACGTGTGTGCTTACTTCGGAAAACTGCCGCAATGATTGCTTGCTATAGTCATTTAGCCTCGAAGAACAAACTTCAAAGAAGCGTAGCCTGGATTCTGCGTTATAAAATATATTTGAGGAATCCTACGCAACCACAAAGAGCATACTGGCATTAGCAGAGATGAGGAACGCGTCTTCAGAAATTGTAAGGATGGTGCAATTAGAAACGTTTCTCTATGAGATGAAGCTCATAGGGAACAACAATACCTTTAATTATGCGCTTAGACGGTGCGGTGCCAAAAGGAAATCTCTTCGCAAAGTGTCTAGTTCGTTGAGATGCCTTACACTAATCGTCGTGGATGCAGTGTTACGCATCGGGGGATGACTACCGAGCAGTTGTCTACCGCTCGAGACTAAAAAATTTGTCATTCGGCCGTCCCAACACTTTGAGACACATCTAATAATCCAACAATATCACGATCTGAACGATCGTATGGGACAAAGCTATATTCTATCTACAATAAGGACGCGATACTGAATAATGCGGGCCAACAAAACGATAAAGTCTTCATTGAAAAGATGTCTCAAGTGCCAGAGATTGTTTTCTCAACCCTACCAACAGGCTATGGCTCCGATCCCCCTAGATCGGACTGTACAATCTTGCGACCCCTTCAAGATTTCAAGAGTTGATTATTTCGGTCCGATGTTCGTTAAACGGGGACGTTCCGTCGAAAAGCGATATGGTTGTCTGTTTATCTGCCCCAAT